AGAGGAGGAGGCAGAGAGGGGAGAGAGAGAGAGGAGCAGGAGGAGGAGAGGAGAGTGTTTGAGAGAGGAGGAGGGTCTGAGAGACGAGGAGAGAAGCGAGTGAGGGAGGAGAAGACGAGAGAGATGAGGATGTGGCGAGAGAGAGAGATGGAGGAGAGGGAAAGAGATGAAGAGGAGAGGAGGGAGAGAGGAGAGAATGGAGATTAGAGAGAGAAGAGATCGGAGAGGATGAGATAGAGGAGGAGAAAGACTGACAGAGAGAGAAAGGATGAGAAGATCGAGAGAAAGAGAGACAGAAGATAGGGAGTGAGAGACGGAGGAGAGAGAGACGAAGAGGAGAGAGAACGAAGAGGAGAAGAAGAGTAAAGGCTGGGATTCGGATATGAGGAGAAAGATGAAGGAAAGAGGAAGTGAGAGAGAAAGAGAAGTTGAGACTCTGAAAGAAGAAGAATGAGAGGACAAGAGAGGAATCTGAGAGAGGGAGAGAACGTGAGACGAGAGAGAGGACGGAGTAGAAGATGAGATGAGAGAGAGGAGGACGAGAAGAGAGGACGAAGGAGTTAGAGGGAGGGAGAGAAGAGAGCAGAGAAGAGAGAAGAGAGAGAGAGGGAGCAGAGAGAATGACGAGATGGGAGAGGAGAGAGAGGGAGAGGTGAAGAGAGAATGAGATATACGACGAGAGAGAGAGCAGGAGAGAGAGGAGAGAGGAAGGGTAGAGAGGAAGAAGAGAGAGAGGAGGGCAGAGAGAAGAGAGAGAGAGATCTGAGAGAGAGAGTGGAGAGAGAGGGAGAGGGAAGGGAGAGGAGAGAGGGAGAGAGGAGAGAGGGAGAGAGAGGGAGGGAGGAGGGGGAGGGAGGAGGGAGGGAGGGAGGAAGGAAAGGGAAAGGGAGAGGAAAAGAGGAGAAGAGAAGAGGAGAGGAGAAGAGAAGAGGAGAGGAGAAGAGAAGAGGAGAAGAGAAGAGAAGAGAAACAGACAGACAGATCGAGTGTTAAAAACCGTCCCCCGGAAGGTCAAGGGTCCGGGGCCACGGCGGCACAGCGGCACTCGGTTGACCTTTGCTCTCTGCGAAGCAGCGAGTGGGAAGGTCAACGCCGCGCCGCCGTGTCCCGCCCCCCGCCCCGCATCCAGAAGGACTCTCGGTTATCCTTCTCTTAAAACACCTGGCATATAAACCATCCATACGGACATGCCGCGGATGACCCATCTTTCCCCGCCATCTGACCCTCCGCCATTTTTCCTTCCTCGAAAAAGGATCCATCAAATGGGCTCATATCCTTCCCAACATACACACACACACACACACACACACACACACACACACACACACTATATATATATATATTATATATATATATATATATATATATATATATATTATATGTGTGTGTGGACGGTGTTGTGTGTGCATGGATGTGTGTCATTGGTGTTGTGTATGATGTGTGTATGGCCAAATGTTGTGTATGCATGTGGGTGTATGCATGTGGGGTAGCATGTGTGGTCAAGAGTGAAGAGAGAAAAAGAGTTGTCGCCTAAGAAGAGAGGATTGAGTGAGGAGTGAACCCGAGGATGTTGGACGTGAATGCGTGTGAGCCAGTTAGTTGGTAGAGGGTGTGGTGGCGAGATGCTGACGAGAACTTCTCTGAAACTCTTTACGCTAATCATATGGAGTAGACAGAAGACTTAAGGGAGGGTGGTATGGGGAATGAAAGACTTTGTCTTATGAGAAGATTGAAGAGATGAGACACTAGATACGATAGATAGATAGAGAAAGAATGATAACTGTCGGAGAGGATGAGGAGAGAGCGAGAAGAGTGATGAGTTTAATGGACCCTAGGAGAGAGGAGGAACTGAGAGATGAATGAGAGGGCTACATTCACGACACATAATTATGAGTGAGAAGGAGAAAGATAACAATGTGGTACAATGATACTGAGGAGAGAGGATGTATTAAAGTGAGTATAGTTTGACTTAATAATTGCGCAAACTAATGGAGATGGCCAACATAAATCCAAGATTGAAACCTAATTATAGATGTGTTCACTGAATTAAATAATAACGAGAAAGAGAGAGAGAATATATCAGAAATGAAAATAAAAGAGAGAAGAGAATTCAGTATCCTAACCAAAGAATACAGAGCAGGAGAGGTTTATCCATTGACCCAAGAACAAGACTACCCCCGCCCCACCTCCGGGAAGCCGGCGCCGATCTCCACCTAACCACATTCAGGCGCTTAAAGACATGATTAGGCGTGGTTCTGTATTCTTATGAATATCCTTCAGTTCTGTCCAATTTTACCCCCGACTCAGAAAGTGTGCTACGGTTGCTTGCTTTGGCTCATAGTCCGGGGGTACAAGGGGGAAGCGGGAAGGCGTCTCAAGAATGCAAGGGTGCGTGGGGATTGATGTTTAAGGAGTCGGATAGGGTGAATGATGGGGGTGAATTATTGGCCAGTTCACTAATTTCTCTACTTAAGACAAGGGGAGGGTGAGGGATTGGTTGACGTGAGATGGTTCGGGATCGATAAGAGGGAATGGCACGGGGGGGAGCAGGTTGGGGACTAGTGACTTCTCTCGCTTGACATCACGGGCTGAGGCGGAATCAGATGCTTTGGCTATGTTACACACGTGTATGTATGCGGCTGCCAGCGCCGCAACAAACAAACACTTGGCTGGGCGATAGGGAGAGAGGCTTTGTGGGCGAGCGGCGTAGCATGTGGTGCGGTGCGAGGCGCTTGGAGATCTGGTGGGCGTGTGAGCTGGCCTGCGCTGGACAGACCACGCCGGCCACTCCTTTCTACATCGCGGCGGGATAAATTGCATCGATAACCAAAGCCACCAACCGAAAGGTCTATCATGTTTGTTTGTTTGGAAATGTAGGTACGAGATGACTGAGGATATTTGTTGTTTTGAGTGAAGAAGAAACAGAAAACAGAAGAAGAGCAGAGAGAGAAGAAGGAAGAGAGAAGAGAGAGAGAGAAGAGAAGAAAGAAGGAGAGAGAAGAGCAGAAGAGTGAGAGAGAGACGAAGAGAGAGAGATCTTCCTAATAATAACAAAATCCGTAAATACAAAACTTTCTTGAGACAATACAAGAATCAAGAGCAAGGCTTCTTTCTGTATATATAATGCTTTTTCTCAACAACCAGCTTCCAAAGAATCACACGAAAAAAAGTAAATTTACACTAAGAGCACGGATGGACGAAGAGAAGGAAAAGGAAGTAGAGGAAGGGAAGAAAAGAACGAGAGCTTACGAATGGGAAAAGAAACCTTTTTAAAGGCCCAATGACAATAAGTGCTAAATCAACATGCCCCCCCCCGTCCCCTTCCTCCCCTTCCCACCTCCCAATCATCCCCTAATATTGTTTGCTTGTCAAATCTTGCCCTTATGTCTTTACCGACCTTATCCATCATTTCCAAAAAGTATGGAACGACAATATACATTAATTACTGTGTGTGTGTGTGTGTTCCGTGTGTGTGTGTGTGTGTCCGTGTGTTGTGGTCCGTGGTGTGTGTGTGTGCTGTGTGTGTGTGTGTGTGTGTGTGTGTGGTGTGTGTGTGTGGTGTGTTGTGTGTGTGTGTGTGTGTCGTGTGTAAGGTAATGTATGTATGTATGTATGTATGTATGTATGTATGTAGTACATATAACTATATATTGTAGAAGTTAGTATATAAATATATATATTTAATTATATATTATATAATATAATTAATATTATAATATTATATAATATTGAGGAATCGACTGTTCTATATACAGTTATATAATATATATTACGCATATCGGACAGTGTACGAGTAATTTGGAGATATCAACTGCACTTCCTAATCAAAAATGCAGTACTCCATTTTATGAGCTGCATAGCCAACGCATATCTCACACTCATCCCCCAACCTCACCATTATTCCACCTCTTTCACACTCGTACCCACTCTAACCCCCTATCCTAGTCCCTAACCGCTATCCTCCACCCGTCCTCCTACTCCCTGCCTCCTACCAGTTATTAGCTACCCCCCCCCCTCTCACATCCCATACATCTCGTGTTACCTAATGGGAGTTTGTGAGGGGTAATGAGACCCTGTGATGAGCCGTACTGTTTCGTCCTTGTGGCTGGCGTACGGCTTAGTGCCGCACAAAGCTGCCCAGATTCAGGATGAGGAAGGGGGGACTAGGACTGGAAGAAGCGGGATGGAAGGGAGAGAAGAAGAGTGTGGGAAGGGGAGGGAAAAGGCAAGGCAGGCAGGAGGCAGGCAGGGTCAGGCCGAGAGAGAGAGAGAGAGAGAGAGAGAGAGAGAGAGAGAGAGAGAGAGAGAGAGAGAGAGAGAGAGAGAGAGAGAAGAGAGAGAGAAGAGAGAGGGGGGGGGGATGGAAAGGACACACGCAAGACACATCCATCACCTCACTTACACATGAACAATCTACAAGAGAAAGAGATCGAGTCACGAAATAAAAAACGAAAAAAAAAGTAGAACAGAAACGACCGGGAGGCGGATTGACCACAAATTAAAAGGCGGAGGCGAGGTAACAGAATACCCCAACGGAAACCCTCCTAGGGGTAACAGACAAGCGGCCTGAGGCCCCCTACACAGACAACACCCACGGCAGGAGAGGCGCCCGCTCGCGCTAATCAGGTAGCGCGCCCTCAGTGCAGCTCAGTGTGATTAGCGAAGGCTAGCGGCGCCGGGTCTTGCCTGTGCCGGGCCAGCCTCCCTCTCGCTTTCTCCCTCCTTCGGCCGCCCGAGCACACCTCAGCCGTTAGGGAGTGGCAGGAGGAATGGCGTAGGAGTAGGGGTAGGGGAAGATAGAGGGAGGAGAGAAAATGGTGGAGAACGGAGACGAATGAGGGAGGAAGGAGTACTGGGATAGAAAATGAATGAGGGTGGAAGGAGGAAGGAGAATGAAAATAAATGAAGGAGGGAGGCAGGAGATTGGTGGAGAATGGTAAAAGAAAGGATATGGATGATGAGGAGGAAGAACGACAGAAGAAAGCCTGCGAGACGGGAAG